CCCCGGTCGGTCCTCACCGCCTGCTTCCCTCCCCAGCGCTGCTTCCCCACCGGGGCCGCGGGCGACGCGGGCAGCGGGTGCAGGTGAGCCGGGCCCCTCCCTGGGGCCCCCCTCCCCCGGGGTCCCCTCTCTCGGGGCCGCCCCCTCCCTGTCCCATGTCCATCCCTGCACAGAGTGGTCAGCTGGCCGCCCCTTGCGGCGATGCCTGTCTGTAGCGCCAGCGAGTGCCCACCCTCGGCCTCAGTCTGGGGGTGGCTTGGCGGCGCCGCCCCCTGCGGTCTCTGCCCCCTCAGCCCCGCTGCGGGTCCCGGAGATAGGGCACAGCAGCCACTTTGGGAGCGCTCAGTCCTGGCGGCCCCTCCCCGGAGAGACCACGCAGGCCTCTGGCCACGCTGTGACTCCAGGCTGCCCGGGCCGGTGGTTGTGGAGAGCAGAGGGTGCGGGCTTCCCAGGGGTCCTTGAGAGCCAGAAGAGCAGGGAAGGGCGGTATGGGCTGCATGGGCGGGGCTTTGCAGCCTGTGCGGCTGGGTAGCGCCTCCCCAGTCTAAATCCCTTCCCCATGGGGTGAGTCTCCACGGCAGGGAGGGGCCTGCAGACCCTCTGCCTACCCTGCCCCTCACCAGTGGTCTGCCTGCTCTGCCCCGCTCCGTCTCTGGGGAGTCTCCCTGAGCCCCAGGTCTCCTAGCGTAATAAGTAGAATAAACTTTCAGGTGACCCACAAGGGAGGCGGGAGGCGGAAGCGAGAGTGGGGGACAGCCCGCCCGGATGAGGGTCAGCAGGCGGGAGAGGCGGTGTGGCCCAGGGCCCACCCGCGGGAAGTCAGCCAGCAGCGGGGGGCCGCCTGCAGCCACACGCAGCCGCGGGTGGGGCGCGTTCTCCAGCTAGCCCAGGCCGGGAGAGCGAGGACGTGCACTGCGGGCCAGGCCTGTGAGGGGGACCCCACCTGTGAGCCAGTGTCTGCCTCTCGGCTGGGTGCCTGTCTCCCTGGGCGTCATAGTTGGTTCCTCAGGGGGCAGTCAGCTCCAGCAGCCGGCCAGGGTGCAGTTGGGGGTGGCTGGCAAATCCGAGGTTCTCCCCCCACTGTGGTGCCCGGTGCTGAGACCATGCGTGGGGCTCCTCGGTGCGGGCTCCGGGGCTGCCCCTCACAGGTGGACGGCTGACCACCGTGCTGCATCTCCCCGTTGCCCCATCTGGTTCCCCCGGGAGACCCCGCTCTGAGACCGCCTCCTGCTCGACGGCAGCAGCTGAGACGCACCCCCATGGAGCTCGTGGGGCGTAAGGGGCCCGGCATTTCTGGTCTCGCTCCCTGAGTGGCTTGGGGGTGGGCGTGGTCAGAGACGCCTGTGGCTGAGGAGCTGGTCAAGTCTCCTGAGATGCTCTGGGTGCGAGGGGCCTGAGGTGGGCTCTGCCAGCGGGGCCTGGGGGCTGGGGGACTTGGCGGGCACCCCAGGGGGTGCTGAGGTACCCGCAGAGTCGGCCGGGGGAAGCTGGCCCCAGGGTCCCCCTGGGAGAGCTGTGCCTCTGTGGCCGGTGCCCCTGGCCAGTGCTCAGCAGGCTGCGTCCTGCTTTCTCTCAGGCAGCAGCTGTGACGTCCTGACGCTGACAACATGACCCGGAAGGCAGCAGGGTCGCCACCACCTCACTCTGCTCCTGGTGAGTGCCCGGCGGGCTCCCTGGAGGGGCAGGTGGCATGTGAGGCAGGGTGAGGGCCACCCTGGGGGTGGGCGTGGCCCTGGGCCTGGGGGAGTCTAGGCAGCGAGTGGCGGCAGCGGGGTCCCTAGGTCTGGGCTGTGGGCCCCAGTGGGTGGCGAGCCCGTGTCTGCCTCTGCAGGTGACCAGGACCAGGACTGGGGCTGTGAGCGGGAGCGAGGCCGGGACCGGAGGGGCAGAAGCAGAGACCCGGCCCCCCAGGCTGGCTGGGCACACCCTGGGCACCCCAGAGGCCGTAAGTGTCCTGCGCCGCCCTGAGCCCCCTCCCCGCCTGTGCTGGGGGGTGTCCCACCTGCTGCCTCTGTGTCCGCAGGACCCCCCCAGCGGGATCCATCCCCGCCCGCGCTGGAGACTCCGGCACCGACCCCGGGCAGAGAGCACAGGCGCCGGGGCCCCGGGCCGCCCTCCCAGGTGCGCTGCGCCCCGTTCGGGTGGGTCCAGGGTGCCCCGATGGGTGCTGCCGGTGCCCCCGCCGGAGCTCTGCTCACCGGAAGCTCTAGGGCGGGGCCCGGCCGTGGCTCTGACCTGGGCAGGGCCCGCGGGCAGCTCGGGAGGCGGCGCTGCAGGTTGACGTCCCAGCACCTCCAGCACAGCCGCTGCCCTTCTGCGGTGGGGGCCCCTCAGCGCAGCGCCGCCAGGCGCAGGTCCCCGTCTCACCGCCCCCGGCTGCTGTGCGGTTCCCCCCGGCTGAGCAGGCTCCGGGGAGGCTCTGGCTGCCTGCCCCTGCCAGACACCGTGAGGCTGGAGCAGCGGGACTGTTCCTGCAGGGCTGGTCTCTGCGCTGGCCTGGCCCTCGAGGTCCGGACCGCGGCTTGTGCTGTGGTCGCCAGGCGGCAGCCTCGTGGGCCCTTTCCCTCGGCCGGGCCTGTGCGCCAGGCAGGCCGCGGTGCTGTGGGGCCTCAGGGCGTGGCCTGGCAGGTCACCCACCACGGGCACTAGGCGGAGCTGGCCTTGCCGTTCCAGGACGGGGACGCCGTGTCCTATCAGGAAGTGGTGGCCCTGGCGGGGGACAGGAAGCCCCAGAACCCAATCCAGGACAACATGGAGAACTACCGGAAGCTGCTGTCGCTGGGTGAGCGCCCCGCCCGCCCAGGGGGCCCAATCCCAGTGGTCCCGCCTGGGGGGCACCCTGGCTCTGGCGAGGCCCCCGGGCTCCCTGGTGGGGCCTGACCTTGGGGGAGTCTGAGGGCCGCGGGGCTCTGCCAGAACCTCCAGTTCGGCCTGCGGCCAGGGTAGGGATGCCACGTCATCGGGGAGCAGGGGAGACATGTGGGTTGAAGAGGGGGCCCTAAGCGCAGGGGTCTTTGTGTGGCTCCCGGGGGACGCCCCGTGATGCGCCTGAGGGGCAGACGGGCTGAGGCTTGGATGGTGCCTGGGGCAGCACTTGACCGCCCGCCATCCCTGCCCACAGGGGTTCAGCTTGCCGAGAACGATGGCCACTCGCACCTGACACACGGCCACCCCTCGCGGTCACGGAGGGGCGCCCACCCCAGCACCAGCCGAGGTGAGCGCTGGCCGGAGTGCATGCCTGCGGCGGGGCCCGGCGGGCAGCACTGACTCTCTCTCTCTCCAGGAGTGAAAGCCGCGCCCGAAGCCAGGAAGCCCGCGCACCGGAGGGGCATCTGTGAGGACGAGTCCTCGCATGGGGTGATCATGGAGAAGTTTCTCAAGGATGTGTCCCGCAGCCCCAGGCCGGGCAGGGCCAGGGAGTGCGGTGGGCGGCCGCTGGGGCCCCCCAGGTGGCCGGACCAGGGCCGCAAGGGCCTCCCGCCCCCTCAGCGGGAGCCCCGACCCCAGGCTCGCGGCAGTGGACGCCACGCCCTGGCGGGGGGCGGCTTCCCCTCTCACTGCAGCCTCGCGCCCCAGAGGAGGGTTCTGGAGAGGAAGCGGCGCTACCACCTCGACCCGGACGCCAAGGGCCCCGGCCAGGAGCAGGGCGGCTGCGCGAGGAAGAGGCCCACGGTGGGCGGCGAGGCGC